AGCGGCTACATTATCCATGACAAACTGCAAAGAATGAAGATAGTACCCACAGTTTCCTGCAACTTATCCTAGTTATCCAATATATAGTTAATTAAATACGCCTTCGCCCATTTAGTACTACCAAATTGTCAATTTCGACATACTAATTTCGTTTTCAGACCATCAGAATTCTGTCAAATCTTCCCCAAAGTCCAGGAAATGGCATTTCAGAGACTCTAGATTTAAAAATTTCGTCGGGCCTTCGGCCCTCGCTTTCAACCCCCCCCCCAATCAAAAAGAGCTTCCTACGGCCCTGAAACGCTACGGAAACGACACCGTGTGGAAATAGTTAGGATGAGGGGTCAAAAAATTTTTCAGTAAAAAAATAGGGGGTCATAATTTTTTATCAACTTTTCTCTTGGGGGTTCCAAGTTTTAGCATGGAATTAGACATCAGTTCCTCCGCCCCCCCCCCCAGCTAAAAAATGAATGCTCCCTAATCCGAACCCTAAAAGTCTAAAAATAGTAACTGTTCCAACAGATAAAGCTGAGGTACCGCTCACGAAACTGCACGACGTAAAATCTCACAACTTGTCAAGTGGCAAGACGTGTTCGCAACAGGCTTGTAGCAAGCTTGTCAACAAGTTGGAATCAACCACCTCGTAGCAAGTTGACAACAAGCTGGGAACAAGCAGTGCGAACAGATCCTGTTGACAAGTTAGTTGTTGGAACAGCATTGGCTGCATTGCTACAAGTCTGCTGCAGGTTTGCTACAACTTGTGGGTTTTACGTGTGTACTTTATTGTCTTCATTCGTTTCCAACCATCAAACTGACGTTATATGATCAATTTCTAAAGTTGATTCTTTTTGGATTTATTTTATTTTGGTTGGGGTTAGATGTTGGGGTTAGAGTAGAGGGGCAGGATTTAGGTTAGTTACCTAGCCATTTAACACCTCTTCCATCTTCCGAAAATGAAGTTACGTCAGTTTGGTTGTTGGAAATAAGTGCTGACCAGAAAGCCACGGTAATAAAGTACCCCAATACTCCATTGAATACCTCATTATCATAGTCCATATGTCCATACCTCCGGAGATACAGCTGAGGTAGTACTACACGAAGTTTTTAAGGGATACCTCTGAACTATATTACTGTGGGCTCAAATGTATATTTTTCCAAGAAGGCCCGGAAGGTGGCACAGAAAATTTTGAAAAGAAAAGTTCGAATTTAGTATTGTCAAGACGTACTCGAGAGAAATGTGTAGATCATGACGGTGTTTATAAGGTGCTTTTCCTAATAAATATATTTCTGCAATGGAGCTGGCAACAAGAATACGCAAATGTATGTATATTATTAAATAAGCCTGGCGTAGTTAATCGATGAAAACCGATCATCGGAAATCCAATCAATCAATCGATGGTAATCGATATTAATTACTTAATTGATATCGATTGACATTGGCCAGTCGATAGTTACAAAAAACAACAGATGCATGGTGTTCAACTTCGGAAATGTTGTTTATAATGGTAACTGTCAGTTGTCCACCATCTGCTGCATGATACAGCTTTAACCCATTAAGATCCACTGCTTTCCTCTTGACGAGTAAAATTGTCTGGCATTTATAAACAGAATGAAATAATAAATTAGGGTGCAATGCAACTTAATGGGCTAACGAGACACATGGACAGCTCCTGGTTATGTCTAACTAAGCGTCGTTGTGTTTGCAACACAGTGCCTTTTTTAAGGAATTTTCACTGGGGGGGCAAAACAGGAAAAAAAGTCAGAGCGAAAAATATGAGCCGTCGAGGTTTGGCGAACGCACAAGTCTGAAGAGAGATTTTGTAAAACTTTAATTTATGAACTTCAGCTATATTTTACTTTAAACAGCTATAATCGTACAGCTATAACCAGTGGCGTAGCGAAACCATAATTTTGCGGGTGGGGGGCGACCCTCACGCCGAAGGCGTGAGACCGTCTAGGAGGGTTCGGGGTTCGAAAAATTATGAAATCTAGGGTCCCTGAATTGCGATTTCATGTATTTTGGGGGTGAAATCTAGCAGAATTCCGAAGATTATAAAGTACAACGAAGACATGAATTTTTCCAGACATTTCTACTCGGAATTAAATAAATTGGAAAAGTCACCTTGAAAAATAGGAGGAGGGGTCAGTGTCACCTTATTTTCTCTCTGTGATGCTGGGGGGGGGGGGATCCCAATGTGATTTTGATCAGAAATGTTGCATTTAAATCATTTTAGGTTCTATGAGACACCATTTCCGCATTCTCAAAATACGTTGCTTTTTCATACGATACAGAATAAGTCTGAGAAGAAATATTCATGCTGTGATGATGCATACATGGATTTAACAGTTAAAAATCTAAACTAAATCTATTCTTCTTGGAACCATATCTACAACTGCTTTAACGAGATTTCACAAATCAAGTTCCTCCAGTATATTGTCTTTTTCCTCAGTCGAAACGTACTTAATCAGTTTCAGCTTCGAGCATGTAACGTGTACCCCCCCCCCCAAAAAAAAAATTCTCTACGGATTTAGCCTTTCTGAGAGAATGGTTTTTGTGGCGATTGGGGGGGGGGCTCTTAATATAACTTGATATTTTTAAGAAAAAAAGTTTGCAATAAAACCTCTCAAAACAAAACAAAACACAACGCCTCCGCAGAGGAGAGTGCTAGGAAATAGTCGCAAGGCTTGGAAAGGCTAGCACTTTATCGGATTGTTTGCATGAAATCTATTGCTATTATGAAATACTCGGTGAAGAACAAAATGAATTACACACAAGATGGCCGTGGAGGAGGCTATGGAAGGGCATAATCGCATTATCAAGTAAATCAACTGCAATTCTGACAGCAATCATGAGCAATTCTGCTTCACACTTCGGGGGCAGAAACGGCTTTACTGGGTGGCCAAATTCTTTCCCTGGGGGGGCAATTGCCCCCCCAGATATATAGTTAAAAAAGGCACTGTTGCAACATACAGCTACTCAGGCTGGTTAGGTCTGATTGTCTGAATACAGGTAAGTGTATAAAATTTACACCAGGCTGTCCAAAATTGAGGTAACCAAACCTGGGTTATATACCGCCGTGTTGCTGCAAATTTTGCTTTGTGGTAACCTAATTTGGTTTCCCTAAAGTAATGTAAGTCCGTAATCTCTTAATTCTATAATTAATTAATAAATGTGTTAACAGTTAATCTTTAAATTTTCTTTACACGTTCTGGGATCTAATTGGGTTACTTTACAATTCATTTGGACATATAAAATAATAAATCCTAAGTTCTTCTGACAAGTTTTAGTTTTGGTAAACTCAGGTTATACCACGAAGCTGATTTTGTGGTCGCCCAATTTGGTTTCTGCCGCAAGTAATTTTGGACAGGCGTACACTCAAAATTTCCATTGACAAAATCTTTCAACATTAGTTCATTTGAATAAAATGGACCAGAATCCTAATATTATAGACCTTACAGTTGATTTCACATAACTTTTCCCTAAATATTGCGTACTTCGTTCTGAACTTTGTTGTGAAGTTCAAACGTTCATGCTGAAATTCACAAGTCGGTTTGTAAACAAACCTTCTGATTGGCTTATTTTTGTTTAGGGACCAATCAGAGGCTTTGTTTACAAATAGGCTTGTGAATTTCAGTATGAACGTTTGAACTTCACAACGAAGTATGCAATATTTAGGGAAAAGTAATTATGTGACATCAACTGTAAGATTGATGTTTATGGCAGACTGCCAACCGCAAACGGCCGATAAAAAATTGAAGCATGAATGAGCTATTTACCTGTCAAAAACGTGTAGAACCTTCAAATGTGACCTTCAAATGTGATTAAAACGTCAATTTAAATGTCTCTATCTACATGGGCACTGCAGGCTGATTAATTCAATGACCCCGTTTTGAAAATTAGATGAGTGACAGGCATGCATGGCCATCTACATGGGCAATCTGATTAGTCCAATGACCCCCTGATGAGTAAAATTCTCCGGCATTTATAGACAGAGAAAAGTAATAAGGTAGGAGGATGAACAATTCATCTTATATGCATGGTTCAGGGCTCGAATGAAATATTTAAAAGTGAATACCCGGTAGTGAATTTCTACCCATTGACTCATGCAATAAAAAGTGAATAGCGAATTTCTACTATGCATTTACAGTAAAAAAGGATTGAACATTTGATCTTCAACCAGAAAGGCTGTTATAATAATAAAGATTCAGCATTCTTTATTTTTTTGGTAGTTGTAAGTTAGATTATAAACGACACAGAGAAGTGAGAAAATGACGATGTAAAATTAAATAATTTATTCAAAGTTAGAGCACAGGCGGCCCAATCTCGCAAGAGTCAGTCTTAGATTTATAGTATAAATGTATATTATAGTAATTTATATTATAAAAGTGAAATTGACTTAATTGCCTTTTATTCCTCCTTTGTTGGACTAATATTTTCCGAGACTTTGTACTCGATGTTACTTGGATATATTTTATATTCTGTGAATTAAAGAATATGAAAATAAAAATAACTGTACTACCTACAAACAAATGTACCCCCATCTGATCTTGTTGCATCTACAAATATCCCCAGGTAATCCAGATAAATCTGCAAGAAATCCCCCATCTAACATTGTCGAACTTGTTAACAACCCAGATATTGTTGAGTACTGGAAAATGCAAATGGTCATAATGGTCAGAGCACCCAAAGAAAACCCATGACTTTTGGCAGTTGATTTTGATAGAGCGTTGATTGACTCTTTACAAATTGAGCACAATTTTATTATAATGGCAAATGAATATAATTTTTTAGCATTGATGAAATTGCTCACCAGAGTTTGCCAAAGTAATGTACAGTGATTTCTTTACATTCCCCAGCAGGAACGTTTCCTGAGGCAAAATGGCAAATTTCCAAAAGATGTAAGATTGGGTCGTTCCAGAAAAGATCCACACTCCCCCCACAGAGGAAATTTCTGCCAAGTGTATTTAGGACTTCCGAAAGGGGTTAGGGGGTTAACTTCCAATTTCTTCCATGTGGGAGGTATGGATATTTTCTGGAATGACCGATTTCTGCCAAGGCAAAAGTCACTAAATTAGGATGACTGGATCAATGAATACTTTTGAGTAATAGCTCTCAATTTGGTCACATTTTTTCTAGTTTTTTTCGATTCTCGCAAAAATGTTGATGCAAGCTGGAAAACAAAATAAGAAGCCAAAGAAATGGATTACAGCAACATGCTTTTGGAGGAAAAACGCTCATACTACCAATGTGGCAATGACTATGTGACTTTAGATCAAGTACAACCATGGCCAGATTATTTTTCGGAGAATCATTGTTCTTTTACCATGAGAGGTATTATTAAATAAATGTTATTTTGTACCATTAAAACCTTACTCCACCTTAAAAAATATTTCCCCTCCTCTGAATTCCCACTCTTTATTAAGCCCCCCCTTTCTACTAAGACACCTTGCCCTTCCTATTAAAATCATTCCTCCCTATTTAGAGACTCTTCTCTTCCTACTTATTAAAACCCCATCACTCTCCCTTTCGACCTTTCTCTATTAAACCCTGCTCATCTATAAAATAGTATCCTCTATTAAAAGCCTCTCTGCTGCCACACCCTAATCTTGTTCATGACTCCATCCCCTACTCACTATTAATGCCCCCTCTCTCTATTAAGATGCCCTCCCCATTTTCTCCAGTAAACCCCTTCTCCATTAAGAGGTTGGCACGAAGCTCTAGGAAGATGCTCTGTAGAATGGACAGAGGTCGAAATTTAAATTTTTTGTTCTATACAGCCGGAATAGAAGATTTTGAAATTTGCTATTCCTTCTGAAAATCCACTATTCCTTAATTTACTGTTTCTGAGAGCCTGTTCACGCAGGGTCCGCGTTAATGTTCTGATTTTCGTAAAATCATCCTTGAGACTCCCAAAGTGAACTGAATAATTGATTAACAAAAAATAAACATGTACAGTTATGGTACAAATAAAAACGATCCATTCTTATTTGCCACAGTCGGATGAGCAAGACAAAATTCGCAAAACATTTTGTCAAGTTCACTGTTGTAGGTCACCCACTTTTATTTACACATATTTTTATTGTCCAATTTTTGAAGCTTGGCTGACGGTTCTTCTACGCCCGATACGTACAGTACTGCCACATTTTGTATAACGTTTGAGTCGTAAAAACTAAACGCTAAAGTTGTTTTTGATGACAGGGCAGGCCGGCGCCAGTTTGTCTGTCATGTTATTGTAGCAAAGTTAATTACTGGCTGGGGCACTTGTGCCCCAGACGAGTATACATGTAGGTTTCGGCAGCATTCTTGGATCGGCAATCTCCAATCGTCGATAGCCACAAAATAGAATATTAACTAGGTTATAACAGGGCAGTAATGCTGCCTTTGACAGCAAAAGACAAACTACAGGGTGTTGAACGAGTCCTTCAGAAACATCCTATTATTGTTTAGCCTGCATGGCAGGCGGTTCCTAAAATTGGGCAAGCCTAGGAAATACCGCCTGCCATGCAGGCTGATTATTGGTATCCTTGTTAACCCATTTATTGACAGTACCCTACCACTGACTGAGTATTAAAAATCGTCTGGCGTTGGACAGGGTAAATACTAAAGTAGGGGTCATTACTGTGCTGATGAATTAACAAGAGCCATTGGCAGATAGGTTTGTTAACCCATTTACTGGCAGTACCCTATACCACTGACGAGTAAAATCTTCCGGCGCTCGACAAGGGAAGGGCGCATTGCCAGCTAATGGGTTAAACCACCGTGGTTAAACATAAGATTTCATGATGCTCCAGGAAATGTAAACAAGTTATCAGTGTGACATCCCAGTTTATATATTTATATACTTGGAATATTGATTTCTCGGTACATACAAAATTATTTTAAAGTATAACAACCAGCGAAGATTAAGGCACTAACTACCCTGCGCGGCTGCGCGCAGACTATATAACGACATATATATGTCATCCGTCCGGTCCGTCCGTCATTCATCCGTCCGTCCGTATCCGCGTTTTATCCTAACCCTTTTTTAAAACACAAAGTTTGCATTTAATTAAGGCAGTGCGGTTCGTCATGATCAATATTTTCAAAAGCGGCCAATTGGACCAGGGGTTAAAGGGCAATGACAATGACATGCAGGTGACATTTAACATTGCGTCTCACTAATTAAAATTTGCGTGTTTATTAATAGTGTTTATCAAAGAAAGCAAAAATATATACAAGACAATCTCACATGTGGAGTTTTTTCACTTACAGTACGTACTGCCTTGTGATGCAGTACAAGTATAAATACAAATAAATGACAAAGCATTTGTAAATCCTAAAACATAATTAAATCATACGGCACATTTAAGATTTTAATATCGTATTTCAGCCGCGTTTATACTGTTTGGCGCATTCGCTGCGTTATAATATATTCATTTGTCAACCACGCACATACCAAATTTGAGCAATCGTTAAATCATATACATGTCATGGAAAGAATATGGAAATAATGTTGAATGAAAGCTAGCATCGTGTATAATATTAAAAGCACCGCATATAGTGCTCAAACCACTGCGTATAATTGCAAAAGCATTGCGTATATAAATGGTGAAAGCACCGCGTATAATACTGGAACCACCGCGTATAATGGCGAAAGCACCGTGTATAATGGCGAAAGCACCGCCGTATAATGCTAAAAGCACCGAACAAAATGCCGTTTGATCACTTTAAGCCAGCTATGGCTTTCCATAAAAGAAGACCAAAGATGAAACATGATCACATTGCCTGTTTGCCTTATGCCTGACCGCGCTGCACCACGGTTAAAATTCACTGGTACCGTCATGCAATGCGCCAAATAGAAAATTTTGATTTCGACCCACAAAACAAAACTAGGTTACCCACAGGGCAGTAATGCTGCCTTTGACAGCAAAAGACAAACTACAGGGTGTTGAACGAGTCCTTCAGAAACATCCTATTATTGTTTAGCCTGCATGGCAGGCGGTTCCTAAAATTGAGCAAGCCTGGGAAATAGCACCTGCCATGCAGGCTAATTATTGTTATCCTCGTTAACCCATTTATTGACAGTACCTTACCACTGACTGAGTATTAAAAATCGTCTGGCGTTGGACAGGGTAAATACTAAAGTAGGGGTCATTACTGTGCTGATGAATTAACAAGAGCCATTGGCAGATAGGTTTGTTAACCCATTTACTGGCAGTACCCTATGCCACTGACGGGTAAAATCTTCTGGCGCTCGACAAGGGAAGGGCGCATTGCCAGCTAATGGGTTAAACCATCGTGGTTAAACATAAGATTTCATGATGCTCCAGGAAATGTAAACAAGCTATCAGTGTGACATCCCAGTTTATATATTTATATACTTGGAATATTGATTTCTCGGTACATACAAAATTATTTTAAAGTATAACAACCAGCGAAGACGTAAGGCACTAACTACCCTGCGCGGCTGCGCGCAGACTATATAATGACATATATATGTCATCCGTCCGGTCCGTCTGTCATTCATCCGTCCGTCCGTATCCGCGTTTTATCCTAACCCGTTTTTAAAACACAAAGTTTGCATTTAATCTATGATTTAATTAAGGCAGTGCGGTTCGTCATGATCAATATTTTCAAAAGCGGCCAATTAGACCAGGGGTTAAAGAGCAATGACAATGACATGCAGGTGACATTTAACATTACGTCTCACTAATTAAAATTTGCGTGTTTAATAGTGTTTATCAAAGAAAGCAAAAATATATACAAGACAATCTCACATGTGGAGTGTTTTCACTTACAGTACGTACTGCCTTGTGATGCAGTACAAGTATAAATACAATGACAAAGCATTTGTAAATCCTAAAACATAATTAAATCATACGGCACATTTAAGATTTTAATATCATATTTCAGCCGCGTTTATACTGTTTGGCGCATTCGCTGCGTTATATTCATTTACATGTATATACACAGAAAAGCATGTCATTGTCCTTGCAGACCATAGGCAAAAAGCATTTGTCAACCATGCACATACCAAATTTAAGCAATCGTTAAATCATATACATGTCATGGAAAGAATATGGAAATAATGTTGAATGAAAGCTAGCATCGCGTATAATATTAAAAGCACACGCATATAGTGCTCGAACCACTGCGTATAATTGCAAAAGCATCGCGTATATAAATGGTGAAAGCACCGCGTATAATACTGGAACCACCGCGTATAATGGCGAAAGCACCGTGTATAATGCCAAAAGCACCGCCGTATAATGCTAAAAGCACCCAACGAAATGCTGTTTGATCACTTTAAGCCAGCTATGGCTTTCCATAAAAGAAGACCAAAGATGAAACATGATCACATTGCCTGTTTGCCTTATACCTGACCGCGCTGCACCACGGTTAAAATTCACTGGTACCGTCATGCAATGCGCCAAATAGAAAATTTTGATTTCGACCCACAAAACAAAATTAGGATCTGCTGCCTTGCTCGCTCGCTTCAGGCTCGCTCGCTGCGGCAGCAACTAGGTTACCCACAGGGCAGTAATTCTGCCTTTGACAGCAAAAGACAAACTACAGGGTGTTGAACGAGTCCTTCAGAAACATCCTATTATTGTTATTCTTGTTAACCCATTTATTGACAGTACCCTACCACTGACTGAGTATTAAAAATCGTCTGGCGTTGGACAGGGTAAATACTAAAGTAGGGGTCATAACTGTGCGGATGAATTAACAAGAGCCATTGGCAGATAGGTTTGTTAACCCATTTACTGGCAGTACCCTATACCACTGACGAGTAAAATCTTCTGGCGCTCGACAAGGGAAGGGCGCATTGCCAGCTAATGGGTTAAACCACCGTGGTTAAACATAAGATTTCATAATGCTCCAGGAAATGTAAACAAGCTATCAGTGTCACATCCCAGTTTATATGTACTATTTAAAGCACGCGTAAGAGTGTTTTAATCACATATAAAACACGACGCGTAGCGGAGTGTTTTATCACATATAAAACACGACGCGTAGCGGAGTGTTTTATACTGTATGTGATAAAACAGACTACAAGTGCTTTAAATGGCTTAAAAAACGACTCATCTTATACAAGTTCATTGGCGAAGTAATTTTTAAAATAAACTTTGTCTAAACCGAGAAAATCAAAGCTAAAATTTATGTAAATTAACATGATTTTTTATCACATATAAAACCACGACACGCTTATGATTTTTCTTTGTGTTTTGCTCCTGAATTATTGAGTTTTTTAAATTTATATACTCGGAATATTGATTTCTCGGTACATACAAAATTATTTTAAAGTATAACAACCAGCGAAGACGTAAGGCACTAACTATCAATATTTTCAAAAGCGGCCAATAGACCAGGGGTTAAAGGGCAATGACAATGACATGCAGGTGACATTTAACATTGCGTCTCACTAATTAAAATTTGCGTGTTTAATAGTGTTTATCAAAGAAAGCAAAAATATATACAAGACAATCTCACATGTGGAGTTTTTTCAATTACAGTATGTACTGCCTTGTGATGCAGTACAAGTATAAATACAAATGACAAAGCATTTGTAAATCCTAAAACATAATTAAATCATACGGCACATTTAAGATTTTAATACTGTTTGGCGCATTCGCTGCGTTATATTCATTTACATGTATACACACAGAAAAGCATGTCATTGTCCTTGCAGACCACAGGCAAAAAGCATTTGTCAACCATGCACATACCTTAAATCATATACATGTCATGGAAAGAATATGGAAATAATGTTGAATGAAAGCTAGCATCGCGCATAATATTAAAAGCACCGCATATAGTGCTCGACGAACCACTGCGTATAATTGCAAAAGCATCGCGTAATTAAATGGTGAAAGCACCGCATATAATGCTGGAACCACCGCGTATAATGGCGAAAGCACCGTGTATAATGCCAAAAGCACCGCCGTATAATGCTAAAAGCACCCAACAAAATGCCATTTGATCACTTTAAGCCAGCTATGGCTTTCCATAAAAGAAGACCAAAGATGAAACATGATCACATTGCATGTTTGCTTTATGCCTGACCGCGCTGCACCACGGTTAAAATTCACTGGTACCGTCATGCAATGCGCCAAATAGAAAATTTTGATTTCGACCCACAAAACAAAATTAGGATCTGCTGCCTTGCTCGCTCGCTTCAGGCTCGCTCGCTGCGGCAGCAATAAAATAATCGTCCTTTTATAATATATACCGATGACACTTTCATTAATATCACGACTGTTGTACGGCCTGTTGCAAACTATTTTCAAAGCTTAATGCATGCATGGCACTTCAAAGGAAGGGACGTATTATTTGACAGCAAATTTACGAGGGCACAAATGCCAGCGGAGAAAGCGTTTGTCATTTGATCACATCGACAATACCATCTCTTTGCAATTTTTTCAATCAGAGAAGAAAGTTATCCAGGTATCATTGCCACACACGATTGTTTTGGTTGATTCGATTATTGTTAAGAATAATCGATTGCTAAAATAATATGTATTTATAAAACAAGCGAAGGAAACATGTATTGCAACATTAGCTCGCTTTGTCAATACGTTCGAAGTTGTCCACCTGTCCATGTCTATTGCCATATACATGCAAAGCACTTCACTGAAACTACCAATACGGTGCATGGTAAGCCAAAACGAGAGAGTTGCTTAATTAAAGGCTCAACTACCGAATAGTTGAAGGATATTGTAGATGCAGGTTCGATTCCTGCCAGGAACCTAAAGTTGCTTTTTTCACAGCTGTTCCAGGTTAGGTCTAATAAATATATACAAATTTCCACTCGATCATAGCCATGCATCTACAATACCCTTCAACGATTATTCAATCAAATGAAATACCAGCAAAATCTTGATATTTACCTCAACTACCGAATAATCTACCCGCGGTAGGGATATTGCAGCCTATTGTCCACTTCAGCCATATCGCAACATACATCATAGTTTTTCTTTTGTGTCCAAGTCATTATAGCTATACTTGGCTTTAATATTCAGGAAACAAAGAAATATAGCTATACGTGTCAGTACGCCGAGGATGAAGTGGAAAACAGGTTTTGAGCAGTCGACGTTTTGACAACACAGACGTCACAAGAACGATTGTTGCCATATATTTATCGGCTCAGTTACAGTATGTCCACGCACGACTTAGTGTCCACGTTTCATCAAAATTAAAAGCGCTCTAAAGCTATATGTTACATTTGTGTGATTTGCTTTAAGGAAGGCAGTCACAAAACGTATCCATAATACATCTTATACGTTCGTATATTTATGCTGATGACATTTGGAGACAACTTGAAACGAACCGTTATTCGGTAGAGGGATAACCCAGCTTCTTTCATTATAAGCAATTAAGTTTTGCAACAGCTGAATAAATAGAACACAGGTTTATACCTACCATGGTTCAGCAGGATTGCGACACAATCATAATACCCTTCTTGACATGCGATATCTAGTGGTGTGTCCAAACTATCAACCGCAATCTCTGCATCGGCACCATGGTTTAGCAACAGTTGCAAACAATTCTTCTCACCATATTGACATGATATATACACTGGGGTTGCACCCTCTTCATTTCTTACATCCAAATCACAAGTGTTTCAAGAAATTTTTCCAGTATTGATGTTAGACCCTTGTGACAGGCTTCATGTAGAGGTGTCCAGAGATTTTCAAATAACTCGTATCCATGGTTGTACCTTGAGCACCTTGCATGGGCCTGTGTCTCGATCGTTCGTGCTTTAATTTAGCCGTTTAATTGGGTCTTCTACAAATTGTGCTTATGAGTTATGTTGTTATATAGTTGAGGTTCTGTTTGTCAGTTATTATTTTGTTCTTGTGAGTGTTTGTCATATCGTGTTTAGACTTTTAATAGTAGATTTGTAGAATACTCAATAAAATCACGAATATAACGAAAATTTAAAAAAAAGCTTGCTGGTGGATGTTGCATGCAGTCTTCAGGTTGGAATGAGAGATGGCTTACACAAGAATTGTACATGTATATAGCTTTAGGCACAGATTAAGCATTAACATGCAATTTTTTTCTCATGTCGGCACCAGGTCAAATTTGCATGATTATGTTGCGGGCGCAAAAGAAGAAATCACATGTGTAGTGATCAAAAATGAGTTAACTTTCGTTACAATAAGTGATTGCATCTAGTCAGGCAGCCAATGAAAATTGCTTTACTTAATTGACAAATGACAAGCTAGTGAAAATTATATTTGGGGTGGTTAATCCAGTGTCGTGGACTAGCAAAAGATATGTCTGCAAGTTTACACAATAATGTCGATATATGGAGAAATCAGTTCATATTGCTATTTAAAACGTTACAAATTCATACATTCTAGACGCATAATAGGATACTGTATTTGGGTACAGCATAGTATTTTTGTTTCTATCGATCAGACCACACTTCACAGTGATCAAACTTTTAATCTTGTGTCTAATTAAATTAAGAGCACTAAGGGACCGGTCATTAATTACAGGGGAGGGGGGGCTGGTGGAAAAAGAGGGGATCAGGTATTTTTGAGCATGAAAAAGGGGGGGGGGCAAAAATTTTTGTCCAATATAAATACCTACCCCGCTGCCACATTACCCTGTTGTACCATAAAACCTACAGATAAAAATGCCATTTCCAACGATCTAGAGACTCCATATTTTCAAATTCTCACGGATGATTCTTTTTCCCAATGTTGGCAACTATGATAGGGCAGTATGATTAATTGTGGCTTCACTTTATAAGAACTTTAAATTACGAATGTGCCTTTTGTTATTTGCATGTGTGTGTGTGTGTGTGTGGGGGGGGGGGAAGTATAATGGCATCTAATTTTTCATTTCCACCAGCCCCCCCCCCTCCCCTGTAATTAATGACCGGTCCCTAAATGTTGTACGTGTAGAAATCATTAATTTAGCCTTGATTAGGAAAATTCTTGCTTTGCACTTACCAGACAAGAAAATCATTGCCATTAAATTTGATCTGTTGTTTTGCCTGTGTGAGAAAAAAATTGTAACCCTAGCTCTAGACAAGAGATCATACAGATATTGAAGGAACTAGGTCTAGACTGAGTTCCAAAATATCACTTAATAATTTGAACTTGACCTCATAAATGGGCTTGCAAACTAATGATAAATGGTTGTGGGTTTGATCATAGTTAATAGAATAGATGGTTTGGAAACTCATCAGAATAACAACATAACTCATTATCTATGTTAGTCAACGTTTATTCATAAATATGTTCCTTCACCGTCACGTGTGTATTGTATTTTTGCCCAACTAACCAATAGCAATGTTTTAGGAAAGCTACCTATCCATGACTTGAACAATAGGTAAATTGAAAATTGGTATTGGTGGATATGGCAAAAATACAATACACACGTGACGGTGAAGGAACATATTTATGAATAAACGTTGACTAACATAGATAATGAGTTATGTTGTTATTCTAATGAGTTTCCAAACCATCTATTCTATAAACTATGGTTTGATTCACATTGATAGTGGTCACATTGATAGTGGTCAACAATCAGCTTGCTCGGGCCTTGGAGTAGTGATAAAATTATCTATGTCATGTTAGGACAAGGTCCAACCCAAGGCCGGATTTTGGTGGAAATAGTGGGGGAGGTGGAAAAAATTTAGGGGAGGTGGAAAAAATTTAGGGGAGGTGCAGCAGTCTAGCTCACGATCCCCATGGTCCATGCCATATATGGAAAGTCTGGAAGTTAGGATTTAATAGAACAGGCCAAAGTCAACGACCTGACGTATACATGCATGCATACATGTAGTATACATACATGTATCAGTGTTAATTAATTCAGTGTACCCTAAGCAACCAAACATAATTTTCACTATGATTTATCATTGAAACTTTCCAAAGGGAGATGCATGACTTTTCAAGGGAGGTGCAAAAATTCTCAGGGGAGGAGCGAAATGATCTCAGGGGAAGTGCGCACCTCCCCACAAAATCCAGCCATGGTCCAACCTCCTCTGCTAGCTGAGGTATCTACACCTGGACTAGGTTAAGGTCATAAACAACTTTTCCCAGCTGGCATATACCATTTTCAGCATGATCTCTTCCCAAAATTAGGTTACACTTTATGCACCTATCAATGTTAACCCAGGGGGGGGGGGTCGGGCAAAGGGTGGGGATTTGATCAATCAGGTGGTCCCATGGGTCGGGATTTGGACTGACACTTTTTTTCTAAGTGCCCCGAGGGTGGGGATTTTTGACAGATTAACACTGATCTCAGACGATATACTGAAGAAACCTGAGCCAATTTTAGAACAAACTCTGACTCGTCCCCAGTCGCCCGCATTGTAGCTGTCAACGCCTAACCCGCGAACAGGCATATCCTCCCGCACTAAAAGGTAACGAGGGACTGTGGAAGAGTCAGGAACAAACTGAAGACTGGGCACTAGTGTGTCGCTCGCTGTCTCGCGCGTTGTTTTTACAAGAAATATGGAAATTTCTGGACAAGAAATAAACACTTAAAGGGGAAGTCAAGTCCGTTCTGCGCATCGGTTCTGCGCATAACAATAGAGGGCCCTCTGAGGTAAACATTGCCCAAATTTGGAATGTTTCGAATTTTTCTGAACACAAACTCTATTTCATATTCATGTAGAAGCATAACGAACCAAAATGGTGTTTAATAGATATTCAGACAGTACATCATATTTTAAAAAATACAGCAGTTCAAAATGTAAACAAACCGTTTGTTTACATTACGGACTTGACTTCCCCTTTAAAAGCCATTTTATAATTATATTAATATCGATTTATACTTGTATATTAAAAGTTCACGTTATGTACTATTTAAAACACGAGTAGGAGTGTGTTTTATCAGATATAAAACGCGAGGCGTACAACTTAAAATACAAGTACAAAAGAATACTAATTAGGGCGAACAATTATATTAGAATACTGACAATATAATTATATAAGAATACTGTGTTTTATTAGCCTGTGTTCCAGTCCACTACACCATGGTGTGGCGCAAGGTATATAAATTATTAATGAGTATTTTAAGTTATTTTGAAACGTTCTTTATGTTTGTTATACTTTTAAATTATACCGCCAAATGTATTTGTGTAATTTCCCTATCACCTGACATATAGAGTGCACCAGAAACCAAATACTTCAGTAATACAATTTCATCCCGGGGGTGGGGAATTTTGCCGAGGAATTTTCTCCCGAGGGAGTGGCATTTGACATTTTTTTTTGTAAAAATGTCAAATCCCAACCCCTTGCCCGACCCCCCCTCCCTTGGGATTAACATTGATAGGTGCATAAGTTGAGCTTTAATATATATTAAAGTTTCAAAAGAAGAGGAAAAAAATTGAATTTGGCAAGGGGATCTCAGGGGACCAAAAGGCTTTTTTAGAGATGTAAAGGTAGCTCTTTCTCCTCAATTATTTTAAGACATATAGTATATAGAAGTTCGACCAAGGCCATTGAACCTGAGTCTGGCAGCTTGAAAGGCAAGGGTGGTGACAAGGACATAAATGTGGTAAGGCCAAAAAAATATGTGTTTCCTATTTCTTCTTGTAAAAACGTAGGTAGGGTAGGTGGGTTTTAACTTCCATTTTGTTCAGTCAGTGCTTCCACATTCAAAGATAAATTTCCCTAATAATGCCTCAAATTTCCATTTTTCACAAACGTTTTCTTCTAAGTGGAAACACTTACAAGCATGATCCAATAAAAAAAGTTTAGGGTCGGGATTTCGGCGTCCAAAAGCTAGGTAGGGTCGGGAAACCGGAAACCCACATATTTTTTTTGCCTAAGTTGAAGGATTATTTGCCAAGACGAATTATCGGTTGATCTTTTAGTTAGTATAGACTTACCTTGTCTTCTGTTTGTCTTGGCGTTTTGACTTCACATTCGTCTTACTGAGAAGGGCACTTGAGTAATAAGAGAAAACGTTTTTCTAAATTATACTTCAGTTTTGAGACAGACGGCCAGTTAGCGGGATAGTGTTTATTGAATGTGGCTCTGACCGATACACGCGTAAAAATTCACAGTTTGTCAACAAGATATTGTTCTCACTGCTTGTTCTCAGATGTTAACAAGTCTGGAAGAAGTTGTTATCATCTTGTAACAAGGTTGATGAGGCCAACCAATCTCGTTCCCAGAGTACACCTGTTCACGGGTTATGTAGTGGTAATAAATTCGATTTCCCCAGAGTCATGCCACTACATAACCCGCGAACAGGCATACCCTGGGAACGAGATTGGAGGCCAAGTTGTTTCAACAAGTCTGATCTATCGTCTGCACGTAACAAGTTGTTAACAAGTTGACGACAACCTGTATTAGATTTGTTGGAACAACTTGTAGCAAGTCTGTTACGGCTCCCTAAATTTTCAGCACCCCCTCCCCCAGGGCAAAACATGAAAATCCGTTTATGGAAAGACATCATATCCATACTTGGCATCCAGTGTTATATCCTCTTCGTCCTGTAGGGCAGCGTCTAACGCAGCTTGTACCCTGGGTGCCACAGCGGGTCCCTCATAGTCCTTCGTTGTCCTGTTAGGTAAGTCCAGTTCGATCTGAATTATGTTCTCCGCCTATAGGAGAAAGAGGAAATATTAAATGAAAGTAAAAAATGAAAGTAATTCAAAGTAAATATAGTAAGATATAATAAATTACATTTTGAGCATGTTCAGGCCATGTTTCACGAGGTAATTTTCAAACTTGTCAACAAGTTTCGAACAAGCTGTTAACAACTTGTAACAAGCTTGTTGACATTATCAGGCTTGTTGCAAAGTTGTTCCTACAAGTCTGATACAATCATGACATAACAATATTGTTACAAGATATTTGCTGTGTTGTTATAGTGTACTCAGGTGAACTAGATGCTTGTGATGTTACTCTGAGTGTATATCCACACCGGGCAGACTTGAAAAATATGCCTGGCCACGGTGGGAATCGAACCTACGACCTTTGTGTCGTCAACCTTGTAACATTCTTGTTATATCATGATTGTATCAGACTTGTTAGAACAACCTTGTAACAAGTCTGATAATGCCATCAAGCTTGTTACAAGTTGTTAACAGCTTGTTCCAAACTTGTTACAACAACTGGGAACAAGCAGTGCGAACACAACTTGTCGACAGCTTGTGAACAGATTTGCAACAACTTGTTTCAACATTGTTTGCAGACTTGTAACAACTTGTGCGTTTTACGTGTGTAGTTCACAGAAGCATGTAGAAAAGGTAACTAAGCTTTAGAACTACAGTCTTCCTAGATTAATACATGTAGTTACCTTATAACGTGGATTACCACCAAGAGCTGCCGCGACTCGAGCGTATTCCGAAATCGGCCGACGATTTCCGATTGCAGACACAGGTCGCTTCGTCATCGTTTCCCTAGATTCAAAATATTAAACGAATATTGAATCATTTTTGTATGTTTCATTACATGTCTAAAAGTTTCTTCCATAATCTCACGTTTTATTTTCGGCGATTGGTTTTAATTTCCATTCATTGTTCTCTTCGTCATAAACGCATCTGTTTGTTATCTTGGTTCGTTCTTCAGGAGGGATGAAATTCTCCAGAAGTAACATTCTAGATAAGATATCATAAACTGTGTTTAATAATCCATAACGTAATGAGAATTAAAATTAAATTTGAGGTTTCCTTCTGTAGTAAGACTGAATCAATAAGAGATGATCTTTACTGGATCTCTACGGAAAACAGTTTAGAACTGATAGAGCTATCCAGTATAAATAAAGTTAGTTTAGGTTTCCTTCTGTAGTAACACTGGATCAATAAGAGCTGATCCTTACTGGACCTCTAGGGAGAACAGTTTAGAACTGATAGAGCTATCCAGTATAAATAAAGTTAGTTTAGGTTTCCTTCTGTAGTAACACTGGATCAATAAGAGAAGATCCTTACTGGACCTCGAGGGAGAACAGTTTGGAACTGATGAAGCTATCCAGTATAAATAAAGTTAGTTTAGGTTTCCTTCTGTAGTAACACTGGATCAATAAGAGATGATCCTTACTGAACCTCTAGCCCTAGGGAGAACAGTTTAGAACAGATAGAGCTATCCAGTACAATTAGGCTAGTTTAAATTAGTTTAGACGAACTTGAATTTTAAATCTCGCATGAGGTCTTCCTGAGTTTGTTCAAGCTGTTGACGTTGTGTGACGTATTCCTCTTGCAGATCAGTGATCTCTGCTTTGACTTGCTGCAATTTCCCATAGATCTAAACAAAAATAATAAAAAAATTAAATGATCACCAAATAAACAATTAGGCAGAAACAACAAAAAACATGCCATACTATTCATCTACGATCTATACCTTCTTCAATTTCTTTGTTTTTATATCAACTTCTTCTTGCAGTGTTGAATGAGTTTCTTTCATCTGATATGATTCTCCATCTTTTTCCTCCAATTTCTGAAGCATTTCCCGCTCTCGTGCCTGCAATAAAAAAACACAATCTTGATAGAATGTCTATGATTAGCCAATTTTTCTATAAAAGGAAAAAGCTGAGAAACTAAAAAAGATTCAACCGATGTTGCTTTTAAAGAAAAATCGAAATTCCAATTTTTTTAAAAAAAACAGAAGAAAACAGAGGTATTTCAGTATTCATTTTCGGCTCAAAAATGGTAACAATTTCCGCACGTAATACAAACATATACAAAATATGCAAACTTCGCAAGGCTATATTTTCCGTATTTTACAACATTTCGTAACCAAATTTTGCAATTTTACTAATTTTAATAAGTTCTTTACGGGAATTTACTTTTTTTGCCTAAATCAAAAATTAATCTAACATGCAAGTTGTCTATTGGAAAGGAAATTAACAAGATCTCAACAAAAATAGCTTGTAAGCACCAACTTAGGTTCTGCGACAGGAATTGAACCTGCAAATCCAAAAATGTGTATATAGTTTTTTTTTCTGTGTTGGTGTTGTGTACTCAGGTGAATATGATGGTTGTGATGTTACTCTGAGTGTATATCCACACCGGGCAGGCTTCAAAAATATGCCTGGCCACGGTGGGAATCGAACCTGCGACCTTTGGAATACTGTTTTCGTAGGTTCGATTCCCACCGTGGCCGGGCATATTATCAAGCTCGCCCGGTATGGATATACACTCAGAGTAACATCACAAACATCATATTCACCTGAGTACACAACACCAACACAGAAAAAATCATATTACTAGATTACATTGGTATCGAAGGAACTAGATTCTGTTCTGAAATATCACATACTCGAACCGACCTGACTGCGTAGCTCAGTTGGCAGAGCATTGGGCTAGTATTCCAAAGGTCGTAGGTTCGATTCCCACCGTGGCCAGGCATATTTTTCAAGCTCGCCCGGTGTGGATATACACTCAGAGTAACATCACAAACATCATATTCACCTGAGTACACAACACCAACACAGAAAAAATCATATTACTACACTACATTGGTATCGAAGGAACTAGATTCTGTTCCGAAATATCACTTACTCGAACCGTCCTGACCGCGTAGCTCAGTTGGCAGAGCATTGGGCTAGTATTCCAAAGGTCGTAGGTTCGATTCCCACCGTGGCCGGGCATATTTTTCAAGCTCGCCCAGTGCCCAGTGCCCAGTGTGTATATAGTTTCCGCTTGTGTATACATACCCTTTGGTCAGCCAATTCTTTCCGACGTTGCTCTAATGCTCTATCCTGTTCTGTGGTTTTATCAACAATACTTTTACCTCCCACGAGTAGCTTGCTTTCCATCATCTGAATGAGAGAATAATGATGAATTAGATAGAGTGCATGCAACCGTTTCATACAAGTTCGTTCGGCAGGTTCGAACCTTCTTAGCAAAATTTACGTTTCATATTTTCATTTCATATCTTCTTTCTTGTGTCGAAAGAATAACTATGCATTGCAGTTTTAAAACAACAAGTTCATTAATTCTTCATGGCCTGATACGGTAAAATTTTTCTTTGCCTGGCGTCTGCCGTATAAATGCGAAGCTTAAACTCTCTATAATAGCACAGAGTACTTATACATACAAAGCTCTCACTTCTGCGAAAAAACCGTAAGGTAGTTTTTACTACGTATATCTGGCGGCCATGCATGATCTTAGCAAGTGCTCTAAAGAGAGGCATTCACCCCCCCTGGAACATTAAATTTCAATATGTGTTCAGGGGGTGACTGTCTCTTTAGGGCACTTGCTAACGAAGCAAACAACTTTAACAATCTTAGGTTTTGTCATATGTGTTGAAGATTACTACAAACTGAATCAAACACAATTTTAGTCCAGTCCCCCATTAGACTTGCCCCAAGTCTCTCTTTCATTGTCATATATAGTATCGATCCACTATAGTGTACATTACATGACGTAGCACGGAGAGGCGGAGCGAGAAAGAGAGACTTGTCAACTTCGGGAAATCTCGGTCCAAAACTGAACCGAAAATGCAAGACTTGTTTTAATTGTTTTCTGTCAGTGTTTATATGTATTGATCTAGCACAGTGTAAATAACACGAGTTCCATTATAGTAAATAATACAGAAAGAAATTGAAGGAAAACAATTAAAGCAAGTCTTGCATTTTCGGTTCAGTTTTGAACAGAGATTTTCCGAAGTTGACAAGTCTCTCCTTCTCGCTCCGCCTCTCGGTACTACGTCATGTAATGTACACTATAGTGGATCAATACTATATGACAATGAAAGAGAGACTTGGAGCAAGTCTAGTCCCCCATCGGCAATCTGACGTCGGTGTTGACAAAACGCAGCTTCCTCGTCATGATCTAAACTTCCTCACAAAAATTAAACTAATTGTTGCCGGTTCAGGTTTGACTTCTACCATCGCTACTGGCAAGCCTTGATAAAATATTTTTCTTCCTGGCAGCAGGCTTCGCAGACCAAAAATTTCCTGTCAATTTTTTTTATAAATTTGAATTTTGGTTGTAATTCAATAACATTCATTAACATAGACATTTCGTCTATAAAGTTCTGAATGGCCACACCGCACCCAATCTTAAAGAAGCATTTCATTTTAATAATGAAAGACATGATACATACAATCTTAGAAATAGGGATATACTGATTTAGCACTACCTATGCCGAAAAAAGAATTCGGCAAGAGGTGCTTCAGCTATAATGGTGCCTTGCATTGGAATAATCTTCCCCATGAGGCAAAAATTGCTGAATCCCTAAGCTCTTTCAAGTCGATATTGAAACAAAGAATGAGTTGAAATTTGCTTGTGTGTTATCGTGCAGCTAAAATCAATTGTATTTATTTATTTTGTTATATTTTGTATTTCCTATTTTGTATTTCCTATTTTGTAAATAGGTAATTTCACGCCCCTCATGGAAACCAGCCTTCCAACGGCTGTTGAGGCTAGCGTGGTTTAAATAAAGTTTTGTATGTATATATGTATGTATGATACAAACTTTTATGTTATGATTGTTTCTAATTGTGATGTTTGTTACTTTAATGCTGATTTTTGAAATTTCTCGAGCTTCATTCTTGACATCTTGCTTTTCCTTAAAAATTTCCTGTGAGATTAAAAATATTTCCTGGCAGCATGCTGCCACGCTGGCGGATTTTCTCATGCCTTGGCTACTGGAGTAATAAGCGGTAGTGGAAATCAAATCTGAACCTCTACAGTGATGGCTACTAACCTTTATTTTAGCATTAAGAGCGGACTGTTCATCTTGACGTTTTTTCAATTGTTGCGATTTCTTCTGAATTTCATTCATCAATTTTTCTCTTTCCTAAAACAATGCAGATGAAAAAATGAAGTTAGTTTAGTTTAGGATTCCTGCTGTAGTGATGAACTAACCTATAAGAAATGATCCTTACTGGACCTCCAGGGAGAACAGCTTAGAACCGATAAAGTTTATGAGTTTACGGCAACCTGGTACAATATCAGTCATGTTTTCGCACCCTACTGTACTCTGGTTTTAATAAATGAATGCAATTCGAGTAGCGTGCGTAAACACGACTAATAAAGCTGTCTAGTATTTATAAAGTTCGTGTAGTTTAGGTTTCCTCCTGTAGTAACACTGGATCAATAAGAGCTCTGGACCTCTAGGAAGAACAGTTTAGAACTGATAGAGTTATCCAGTATAAATAAAGTCAGTTTAGTTTAGGTTTCCTCCTGTAGTAACACTGGATCAATAAGAGATGATCCTTACGGGACCTCTAGGAAGAACAGTTTAGAACTGATAGAGCTATCCAGTATAAATAAAGTCAGTTTAGTTTAGGTTTCCTCCTGTAGTAACACTGGATCAATAAGAGATGATCCTTACGGGACCTCTAGGGAGAACAGTTTAGAACAGATAGAGCTATCCAGTAGAAATAAAGTTAGTTTAGTTTAGGTTTCCTCTTGTAGTAACACAGGATCAATAAGAGGGAGAACAGTTTAGAACTGATAGAACTATCCAGTAACATTACCTCAGCCAACAAACTATGATTCTCCAGTAAAGCTTTCTTTTCTTCCTCCAATTGATTTTGAGCATTCTTAATCGTATCTTCTTCGCCATCACCATCTTCTTCACCGCTGCCATCACCACCACTGCCATCTACAAAACAAAGGATTATTACAAGAGCTTAACAGAAAGGGTTGCTTAAAGGAAAATGGCAATATATCTTTTTATTTTCTCATTTGAAAGAACTTTTAAGACTATATATAATACTCTTTTGCCGTTTTTTCATATCTTGCTTATTTCACCAAAACTACCGTTAAGGAGATCAAAAATTTATCCAAGATGGCGGACATCTCATCACTTCAAGTGAAAATATCATGGCACTCTTACCAGCTCGTTTGCTTCTTCCCTTTTCACCACCCTTTCCACGAGTCTGTAGCTCGGTTTTTAACCTGAAATTTGAATGAAACATATTTAATCAAACATTCCTGAAAAACTAAGCGAGCACGCGAGCACTGCCCGCAGGGAATGTTAAACAGCTGCAGGGAAAATCTTGAATTATTGCTCCCTGATTTTAATGACTTATTTTCAACATTTTAAATTTTAATGTAATCCTATATATATGTACGGTATATATTCTACAACTGATATAATTCATGTAAATTAGTAATTTAAATTGTATCTTGGCTGGGACACCAATTCATACCAGCTTTTGCTGAAGTGTCCTTATCCCAGTAACAGGGTCGTAGCTAGAACGATAATTAGGGGTGGGGGGTGTATATTCATATATTCGTGTTCTGCCCGACGGATTTCTTTTGAAATCGATTGTTTTTACGGTATGTGAAAATGAATATATGAATACCAATTATCGTGTCTAGCTACGGCCCTGGTGTGTTTAAAAATACATACCGAGCGATTTCTTCTTGAAATTCTCGAAGCAAGGCGTCCTTGGGATCTTCGTTGATTTTGGGTTTGTTCTTGATATTCTTCGCTCGATTAGCATATCTGAAGAGCAGGAAAATCTTCGTTTAAAACAACTTAAATTTTAACTATACGTGGGAGCGCTTTGTAGCCACTTCCTTTCCTTGCCATATATTAACTCATTAATGCGCAAGACTCTTCCCTAAAATGATAAAGTAGGCCATCAACCTTCCTCTGGGCAAAAATTCAAGTTTTGAAACCTATACTCATAAGCATGCTCATTTATACACCAAAATCCGGTAAGCTCATGAGCATGCTCATATATACAGCTAATTCAAAAAAGGTTGTCAATTTGCAAACCTTAAACTCTAAACCTTAAACTCTAAACCTTAAACTCTAAACCTTAAACTCTAAACCTTAAACTCTAAACCTTAAACTCTAAACCTTAAACTCTAAACCTTAAACTCTAAACCTTAAACTCTAAACCTTAAACTCTAAACCTTAAACTCTGAACCTTAAATTCTAAACCTTAAACTCTAAACCTTAAACTCTAAACCTTAAACTCTAAACCTTAAACTCTAAACCTTAAACTCTAAACCTTAAACTCTAAACCTTAAACTCTAAACCTTAAACTCTAAACCTTAAACTCTAAACCTTAAATTCTAAACCTTAAACTCTGAACCTTAAATTCTAAACCTTAAACTCTAAACCTTAAATTCTAAACCTTAAACTCTAAACCTTAAACTCTAAACCTTAAATTCTAAACCTTAAACTCTAAACCTTAAACTCTAAACCTTAAATTCTAAACCTTAAACTCTAAACCTTAAATTCTAAACCTTAAACTCTAAACCTTAAACTCTAAACCTTAAACTCTGAACCTTAAATTCTAAACCTTAAACTCTAAACCTTAAACTCTAAACCTTAAACTCTAAACCTTAAACTCTAAACCTTAAACTCTAAACCTTAAACTCTAAACCTTAAACTCTAAACCTTAAACTCTAAACCTTAAATTCTAAACCTTAAACTCTAAATCTTAAACTCTAAACCCTAAACTCTAAGCGTGCAAAGCATGATGAGAGCATCATTTAATCAGTTTAGAAATCATATATGGGGGCCATTTCTTAGAGACATGGTAAATATCTCCTTACGAGAACAATTCATTCACAAATAGCTGCAATATTCAACTACTAAGATTGAAACTTGTGCTCCCATTAAGCTTTGCGCGCTTAGAGTTAAGGTTTAGAGATTAAGGTTTGCAAAAAACAACCTTTTTTGAATTAGCCATTTGCGTAATAGACTAAATTTTGATCTAGACAAAAATTTCATCACAGCTTGAAAGACCATCACAAAATTAGTAATATTCCAAAGTTTCGTTGCAAAATGTTGTAAAATGCGGATAATATAGCCTTGCGAAGTTTGCAATTTTCAGTCATTTTAGATTACAAAGGGGAAATTGACAGCCCGATACGCTTTGAGGCTGTCAATTTTCCGTTTGTAATCTAAAATGACTGAAAATTGCAAACTTCGCAAGGCTATATTATCCGCATTTTACAACATTTCGTAACGAAACTTTGGAATATTACTAATTTTGTGATGCTCTTTCAAGCTGTGATAACATTTTTGTCCAGACTTGTTTAGATCAAAACTTTGTCTATTACGCAAATGGTCAATTGGCTGTATACCAAAATCCAGTATGCTCATGAGCATGCTCATATATATATACCAAAATCCAGTATGCTCACATGAGCATGCTCATACAGTATATATACCAAAATCCAGTATGCTCACATGAGCATACTCATACAGTATATATACCAAAATCCGGTATAGCTACTCATGAGCACGCCGAGCATACAGTATACACCCTTTTCATAAATGGCTGCCGATTAAAAATTCTTTTATGTGCATATAAATTGGCTCAAATAGCCTCGTTTCTGGGTAGAAATTCCTTTGAAATCTTAACATGAGTACGAGGCTAGTTGGGTCAATTCATATGCACATAAAAGAATTTTTAATCGGCAGCCATTTATGAAAAGGGTGTATAGAACACATAATAATATTGTTCTATTCACGCAGGTGGAAAAAAGTGATCTAACCTTAATGTGGTAAGGGTTTCTTCGTAGTTGTAACTGGCTGGGCCCTGGTAAACAAAATGAAGAATATATAAATAAAACATTAGCCGTGGTCAAACTCTCATCAGCCGGACCTATATCAATGATCTCTATAGATGGGCTTAACTATAACGTACAGTGCATATATTAGCTAAATTAGTTCTGCTCAAACATAACTTACCATATTTGCGACCATAACAGTTTTAGCATTCCCCCCAAGAGAATCTGAAATAATAAAAGGCAGAATGTGCATAAACTCTAGAGCAGTTATTGTGGATTTCAGGTAACTTTTCAACACGCTGTTCCCAAGTTCGTTGCGAACTTGCCAATTACGTTGTCAAGTTCGGAAGTTGGGCGTGAACTTCGCAACGAAGTTCGAAAGTTCATTTCAAAGTTCGAACTTTGATTGTTAACAAATGTTCATAGTTGGAGTTGAAATTACTGTATAAGGCCCTATGCACATATTACTGCAGTAAAATATTGGTCCAGTGGTCTCCCAAGACGAAAAATGCCTTTTTAAATAAATTTATCAATGAAATTTTTACATTTGTTTACAATCGAAGTTCGAACTTTGAAATGAACTTGCGAACTTCGTTGCGAAGTTCCCGCCCAACTTCCGAACTTGACAACGTAATTGGCAAGTTGACAACAAACTTGGAAACCGCGCTTTGAAAAGTAATATGAAATCGACAATAAAAACGAACGCATATAATATCACGCTTGCATTTCAAACTGGGAGACCAGGGTTTAATCTGTGGTCGGACCTCTACTCAAGGTCTTAAAATAATTGAGGAGAAAGGGCTACCTTTACATTGACATCAGTAATAGACCTTTCCGGTAATTACGTCACGACTACACTGTTTTCAACTTAGCACCGCCATAAATGGAATGGATTTTAAGTTTGTTTCTCACGGACTATGGTCAGAGGAGCAGAACATCCTTCTTCAACACATGCATAAAAAAGAATTTTGGATTTTGACCAATAAATGTGGAAATAAGCAACACGGCCTGGCCCCTTAGCCTCGTTTTCGTGTTTAAGCTTAAAGCCGGTTTTCCACTTCAAGCGTACCGTGCCGAAACGTATCAAAAACGTTTTTAAATTTCAAAATTTCGTGAATGTTGATTGGTTAGTACTTCCGTAGTTCGCCAAAAAGTTGACTTGCGACGAACTTTTTATTTTGATGCGCGAATACACCCGGAAGTACGTGTTTATAAACCTCTGCGCATGCTCACCAGTACGTTTCGCTACGATACGGGCGAAGTGGAAAACCGGCTAAAATCCAAAATTCTTTGTTATGCATGTGTTGAAGGATGTTCTGCTTCTCTGACCATAGCCAGTAAGAAACAAACTTGAAAATCTATTCCATTTAAGGTGGTCCTAAGTTGAAAACAGTGTAGTCGTGACATAATTACCGGAAAGGTCTATTGGTTAGAATTTCGCGTCTTCTCGGATAAGGACGTTAAATCGTAGATACCTCGGATCCCCTATCAATTGGCCAATAGTCTGTTGGGAAATCCGCTCACTAATGAGTGAGAAAGTCGATAAATTTTCATTGATTGATGCATAAGAATATACCTTGTAATAGGCGGGTAAGTTTCGAGTCACGGTATGGAATATGGGTGCTCTTGCCATCAACCTGGAAATTAGAAAGTAAAGGTACATCATTTGCGGCTTCGGTGGCACAATCGTCAGAGCACACGCCTTTCACCTCTGATATCGTGGGTTTGATTCCCTTGTGGACATTATGATATCCAAGTGAAAAGAGTGAGTCAACGCTCTGCCGAAAGTCGTGGGTTTTCTCTGGGTACTCTGGTTTCCTTCCACAGGGAATGTTGACAGGGTGGGTTAGGATTAGCCCCTAAGCTGGGATTAGCCCTAAACTGACCCTTCCATCGTAGCTGTGCTCCCTGATCAGACACGAATCATAAGGTGGCTCCCTGAGGCGTCCTTAGATCACTTGATCACGTTGAGCTGTGTCCTTCGCAATTCAGCTTAGCTTTCAGCTGCAAGTAAGGATAATAAGCACCTACCCCCCCCCCCCCCCCCACCCCACCCTACAATAGTCGAAGGGTTTTATATGGTTTTAGGACCCGGAGTAGGCCTACAGACTGGGCCCTAACCTTACCCTGAGTGACCTAAATCTTATTCCCAGGAGCCATACTCTTGGCCATGAGAGTTAAGCAAAATTCTCACGCAGACTCTCGAATGCTGACAATCACCAACACTCATTCTTGTTTCATCGCAGCTTAAACGTTTCCGAAAACACGCAAGTATGTGAAGCGTAAAGGCCCATTTCCACTCAAGAAACATTTCCACGTATAGAAATTTTCAAAAAATATCATTGTTCAAAGCTGAAAATTTTCAACTTCAAAATTTTTTTCCGACGGAAAATTTGTGTCGGCCAACCAAATTTTCTTTCTGCGGAAAATTTTCCTGAGTGGAAACGGGCCTTAATCCTATAGCGACATACCAAAGCAGAAATGACATTTCCCAAAGCAGATAGAGAAAGATTGATCTTCGTGGCTTCTTTCAGTCGTTCGCCCTGTGTGGAGAGATTTAACATATTATGATCATGCTATCAGATTTCATGACCAAACTGGAAATTGTAAAATTTTCTCCAATCTTGTAAAGGCATCTGAGGGGCAGCCTATCAATTTTGTTGCCATGGTGAATATTCCTGAACTTCCTGAGGATATAGAGCAGGGTGTTAGCTAGCCCATATACTGTCCGTTTGACGGACTCTTTCCAGTTGAAGTATCTGAGGGGCTTTCCCAACTGGGTCTACTGGAAGATTTCCATTTTTTCTGATGAGAAAGTGCATTGAGTTTGATTTTATATTATTATATCAAAGAACGTTTTATTTACTTTTTCCCATTAATTATTTTCTCAAAATGTATCGCGTTTCATTCATATTGGGTGTTACTGTGTATTCACTGAAATGAAATGTACAAAACAAAACTGTGTAATCGGTGTGCATCCGTGTTTTTCAGTGTTCATTCACCGGAAATGAAATGTACAAAACCAAGCTACCGTTGTTTGCATCTTTACACGTTGGAAAAAAACACTATTTATCCCTACACAAGGACTTTGATCGGTCAAAAAAACTTTCCCAATTTACGTTTAACGGACAAAACTTTTTTTCTGGCTAACACCCTGCAGAGATTCCCACTGCTTGTTCCCAGTTGTCCCAAAGGTCGCAGGTTCGAATCCCACCGTGGTCAGGCAAACTTTTCAGCTTGCCCGGTGTGGATGCACACTCAGAGTAACATCATATTCAGCTGAGTATATAACACCAACACACACAAAAAGTATCATATCTTAGAATATCATTGATATCGAAGGAACTAGACTCCGTTCCGAAATATCATCAACTCGAACCGACTTGACCTCGTAGCTCAGTTGGTAGAGCATTGGACTAGTATCCCACCGTGGTCAGGCAAACTTTTCAGCTTGCCCGGTGTGGATGCACACTCAGAGTAACATCACAAACATCAAGTCTGGAGCAAGTTGTTATCATCTTGTAACAAGGTTGATGAGGCCAACAGACTCGCTTGTTCCAAGTTCCAACAAATCTGATATCGTCTGCATGCAACAAGTTGTTAACAAGTTGATGACCACAAGCTCGTAGCAACTTGTTACGAACAGCCTGTATTAGTCTTGTTGGAACAAGCAAGTCTGTTACCGTCATCAACCTTGTAACAAGGTGATAACAACTTGTTCCAGACTTGTCACAACAGCTGGGAACAATCAGGGCGAACTCATCCTGATATCGGCTTGAGAACAACCTTGTTACAACTTATTTGCAGATTTGTAACAATTTGCGCGTTATTACACGTGTGTACTCCTCGCAGCCGATCAGAAATCATTAATAATTACGAAGGATATACTAACAGCAGCTCCTGTCTTCGCTTGTCTTTCACTGCCAGCGAGATCAACCATGTTTAATTTCCCAACGCGTATATGACATTCATCATCCGGGCCAACCTAAGAGGAGAAATATACATATAGAAGTACAGGGGTAGATGTATAGAGGGGTGGAAATGGCTTTGGTCAACAGGGGTGCAAGGTGGCTTTGGTCAACAGGGGTGCAAAGGGGCTTTGGTCAACAGGGGTGCAAAGGGGCTTTGGTCAACAGGGGTACAAGGGGGCTTTGGTCAACAGGGCTGCAAAGGGGCTTTGGTCAACAGGGCTGCAAAGGGGCTTTGGTCAACAGGGGTACAAGGGGGCTTTGGTCAAAGGGCTGCAAAGGGGCTTTGGTCAACAGGGGTGCAAGGGGGTTTTGGTCAACAGGGGTGCAAGGGGGCTTTGGTCAACAGGGGTGCAAGGGGGCTTTGGTCAACAGGGGTGCAAGGGGGCTTTGGTCAACAGGGGTGCAAAGGGGGGGGGGGCGTAAAAATAAATTTATCTTACTTTTAAATGTTTGAGGTACCGTATTCAAAGTTTTGTTATTTTTAATTGCGCACGTTTACTGCACATATCTAATAACAAATTCTAGCTAATATATGTAGTCGAACTGCAATGTAAAGTGATAAAGAAAGAGTAATGACAAAGAGAAAAATACTCTGTATTGATTAGGCGTGCTTCAGGAAATATTCCGTAAAATATGACAAACTCTGGCTAGGGCTACTGTTCAACTAACATTCTAAACCACACCAAACCATGTTTAAACCTTGTATCTCTTTAAGAAGGTCTGTAACCCAACTTTTGTATTTTATATTTTTGTTCTTCTATATGTTTTACATGTCAGATCAGAAAATTTGAGAAAAATCATTTCTACATTTTTGGCCTAAAAAACTACCTGTGTTTCCGGTTTCATATCGCGAAAAAATTAGGGTAGGTAGGTCGGAAATAAATTTTTTTTAAATACTTTTTTCATGGTTTTGGCGTTTTTTTTTGCTGGGCGATTTTCAGTAGAGTCCCAACATCAATGTTAACTAGAGATACGTAGTTCCTATGGACAAATTTAGGCAATTTGGTTCAATAATTATTGTGACAACAGACGCCATTTTTGGCACGCTGTATGAGCAGCCCGCAACCACCCGGTCAATCGCGTTGAAAAAAATAATAGGGTCGGCAGAAAAAAATAGGGTCAGTCGGGAAACCGGAACCACAGGTATTTTTTAGGCCTAATGATATCTATGTTCGTGATCTTACCTCACTGCATTCAATCGTAACAATAAATATTGCATGGGAACGTGAAGAATGTTCGTTCATGTTGGTTGACCTAAAAAACAAAAGCTTATCTGATTAACGTGATCTGATGTTGTGCAGAACTCGCTTCTGAATTAAGCAACCACGAACCTGGGTAGTATAGGCAAATGATGGCCCTAATTAATCTAAATCATTCTGATACCTACCCTACAGCTCTGTTCTGATTACCAACACTCATGACATGTTCAATTTCTTTCACGCTCTTACAAACAAACGACTGCAAATCCTAAAATCAAAAGTAGTATGTAAAGCTTTCTGAAGCAGGAGTTTAGGAACCACAGCAGAAACCCCTCACTGATTTTTACTCACAGGAAGAGGGGGGACTCTACCTGTAGTACCCATTTCCTGATCTTGTATCCCTGCTCTGTATTCTCAGTTATGCAAAATTTAAGTGCCTTTGTTGCTTTGGGTGCCTTTTGAACTGCGGGCTCGAGGCAAAGTGTCCCCCCCCCTCGGTGGCCTTGTGTAGGTAAGCAACCCCATAGATGTGATTTACCCAATGCACACTAGGAGTCAAAATAACCTTTTTCTTGAAAGTTTCCGTTCGTCTTGGTGGACGATTCCCGGACAATTTCTGAACGTCATTGACTCAGGTTTTGTGTTTTATTTTTTGTTACGTGAATAGTTTCATTTGGTGGCAAAAATACGTCGGTTTACCTTGACATAAATGCCTGTATCGGGTCGTTCCTTCAGCTCCAGTCTTTTCTTCTGATCTTTTGCCAGTAAATCACGTATTTCTTCCTGGAGGCAGAACATTTGTTTACAAGTTGCTAACTTTGTTGCGAACTTCACGCCCAATGGACCTATTCCCTAATGAACAAAATTTTGATCTAGACAAGTCTAGACAGAAATTTCATCACAGCTTGAAAGAGCATCACAAAACTAGTAATATTCCGAAGTTTCGTTGCGAAATGTCGTAAAATGCGGATAATATAGCCCTGCAAAGTTTGCCGTTTTTCAGTCATTTTGTATTACGCGCGGGAAATTGATACCACTTTCTGAAAAAAGGTGTCAATTTCCCGCGCGTAATACAAAATGACTGAAAAACGGCAAATTTCGCAGGGCTATATTATCCGCATTTTACAACATTTCGCAACGAAGCTTTGGAATATTACTAATTTTGCGATGCTCTTTCAAGCTGTGATGAAATTCTTGTCTAGACTTGTCTAGATCAAAATTTTGTTCATTAGGGAATAGGTCCATTTTTGAACTTGGAAACCGAAACGTAATTGGCAAGTATGCAACGAACCTGGGAACCGCGTGTTCCTGGGAACCGCGTGGACTAGTACAACATTTATAATTACCTGGTAGATTTCCAAGTACGACGCTCTGACCAAGTATTGCTGATCATGTGTTCTGGCGATGTGTTTAAATATGTGATCAAATGAATTCGGGATAACACCACGTAACTCCAGATCTGATCTCACACCTTTAGTGAAGACCAAAAATATGGTAAAACGAAAAATAATTAAAGTGCTCCCAATTTTTTAACAAGGGCAATCATAACTAGTCAAGTGGTTGGGGGTACTCTTAATTATCATAGACTGACCTTCCATTGTGAAAGTTTTTCCAGTGCCTGTTTGACCATATGCGAAGATTGTACCTAAATGTAAAATTGCATATATACACATGGAAGTTAACAAGGTGTTGATTTTAACCCATTGAGTTGCAGCACTCTCCCCTTGACAAGTAAAATCGTCTGGATTAGACAGAGTAAAATAATAAAGGGTGCATCAGGACGCATTGTCACTTAAAGAGTTAAGTTGCAATGTGCCCTGATGCGCTCTAGTTTACTATTATTTTACTCTGTCTAACAGCAGATTTTACTTGCCATGCAGGCAATCACATCAACCATCATCTTACCATTATAGCCTCCCAGTACAGATTCGACCAAACTACGAAAACTTTCTTCATACAAGTCTCGTTGAATGGAGCTTGGAAATTGAAAATACATATTTAGGGGCATGAAAGTACACAGTGTTTCCACTGTATCCAGTATAAACAAAGCTATCATAATTGTAGTTTAGATTTCTTTCAGTGGTAACACTGGAGCAATTTAGGGATGACCCTACAGCTGTGGCAAATTTTCATATGACAAGTTTTATTTGCTCGTCTGTATAGGGAACTTTACCAATTTTTCCTATCATGATAAGTAAACTTGCCAGCTTTTGAACAAGTGCACTTGTCATGATAGAAAAAGTTTTCAAAGTACAAATATTGTTCATCTGTATGGGTCAATGAAAAAAATTTGGCAAAGTGATTTGAGCATTTGCACATGCATGGTTGGTCAGCAATCTAAGTAGCAATAGCTAACAATAGCTATCGTGGGCCATTCGTGGTAGTCAGAATACCAAAAACTTGTTATAGAAACTTTGTTGTACGTACAAACATGCAACTGACAAAGAAAACTTGCCATATGAAAACGTATCATATGAAAATTTGTCTGAAACTCGTCTGTAACCGGCTTAACTGGAGATTCCTAACAGGGAATCATTTAACTTACTTCCAGTCATAGATCGCATCAAATGTAAATTCCTTTGGTTCTCCTTGTTTCTGAGGATTCCTTAGTATAACATGGCCTCGCTTTGTGTCCATTTGAACCACTCTAGAATAGAGTACAGCCATGCAATTAATTGACGATACACATTGTGTTTTAACGCAATATGATCCCACGACGAAATTAATGCGTGAAACATGCCATTTATGAACGATTTTAAAAAACTTTGGTTGCAGTATAAACATATGTTACATTGGAAATTATCATTAAGAAATCGAAATGAATGATGTCACCTTTACTCGATCGACTGACATTATCACGTCATTATAAAACTGGTATGATTGAGTTTCAAAACTCAATTTAAAATTGTCATAAAAGTACACTGAAAAAACCCTGTTTTTAACTGTAGTCAGTTTTTGACATAATTTGTAAACTTTACATAAACACAGTTAAACAAACCTCTCAAAACCTTGCCCAACTTCCTTTTCGTTCATTGGCCGGCATCGTACAATGACCTTGACACTCTCTCCTGCTTTCTTCTTAGACTAAAGATGAAACATAAGTCCTGAGTCATTATCTTAACTACCATTTCTTACCTGTTGCCAGGGTTCAAATTAGTTGAGAAAAAATTATGTGCAAATTTTTTTTAAAAATGTGGTTCTAAATTTTTTATAAAATAGGTTCACGATTGTCTTAGCTACTCATTCAAACATACTCAGTTAAACTGCAATAATTTAATTATTTGAATACTTTTTAAACATTGTTTGCAATCTTTGATATACAAACCTAACACATACAAACAGTAACACACACATCAGTCATGTGTTTGTCTGTTATGGTGGCTAAAATTTGACACTTTCCATGCTGCTAGTGTGTATGCAAAAGAACTTGTTTATAAATTTTTTTTTTAATCAAAATTTTTGCCACAAGAACATAGTACGGTACATAAAAGACAGTCACAGTACGGTAACTATTTACATATGTTTATGAATCTATATACAAGAGCAGACCTGCCAACCCTTGAGTAGCAGAAATAGTGAGTTGCTATCTAAAAAGTCGTGAGATTGACTGAAAAATCGTGAGATTTAGAAATTTTCAGGTCTGCTCATAGTCAATATGGCCACGGTTAACTTTAAATAATCAATAAATATTCAATCTTAGGATAGTATGCATTTATATTTTGTTAATATAACCGCAATGCAAGGCTTTGATTAAAAATAGGCTGTTTTTTCTTTATGGCTTCAGTAGCTTCCAATGTCAAGTCTCACGAAATAATAGCATATTTCTTTCTTCCACGGGTGTTTGGAGTCTTTGCATGGAATCACTTGTGGGATTAGCAGAGATTTTGCAGAAAATCGTGAGATTTGGGGACCTAATCGTGAGAAAGCATAAAAAACTGTGAGTCTCACGATTAAATCGTGAGACTTGGCAGGTCTGCAAGAGGAATCACTATATTGCGTGCAATTTCCGGTGGTGGCGAGGCGACCTCAAGAAACCATAAGGTTTATAAGAAGAGGTCCCCTCGTGTTATTACATATGAATATATATAGTTGCAGATAGTTTTAATAAGACAAGATAATTACAAGAAGATACAACAATTTACATTAGATAAACGCAGATGTGAAGGATGACCAGTTCAGACAAACTTAATTTAACAACAGATCATTAATTCTTTTCTTGAAACATGACAAACTGTTAGAAATCTTTACATTAACAGGAAGGGAGGTCCAAATTTTTGGACCTTTGTACAATACTGAAAATTATAAGACAACAGATTGAAGTTTTTAAATGTTCATTAATAGTCCCAAGTCTGATTTTTTTGCACATTGTTTGAAAAAGTGATGTGCAATTTTCACTATTTGGTCCAGAACGATGGGCAAATTGAACATTGCACACTGTTAAGAGGGTCTTAAGATGGGGGGTCTGAAAATCAGTAAATAGTAGAAGTTTTGATATTTTAATGGTAAAATGTTGGTATTTTAACTGTAAATCTTTGAGAAGTGTTCTCAAACAGTAAACAGTATTTTTTCCTCACACTTCACTATAATCTTTTTTCCTTTTCACGACAGATAGATGGTAACCGAAATTGAATGAATCACAATTCACAATATACCCCATCAACACCCTCTGTTAATTCAAACTCAGCGGCTGTTGCCAGCATGCCTTACAGTATATTTCAGCTGCATAGATAGCTTTCCACAGCCCACTAACCAACTCGGCCCACCGTTCAAGGACCAACTCGGCCCACCGTTCAAGGACCAACTCCAAAGTTTTCACCCTGGAAAATATACACTTGTGTGGGGGGGATGCCATTCCTCCCTGGAAAATTTTAAAAATTTGGGTCTCTGATATGAAATTTCCAGACTGAGTGTTTCATTCCCAAGACACAATTTATTCACGATTGCTGCGCCTTGGAAGCTGTAGTCAGATAGCATTTACGCACCGCAAATTCCCGAGGTTAATTTACTAATTTCATAGTGTAAAATAGAAAAATTAAACGCTAAAACATTTCACAGGTTTCCAAAGTTTACAATGCTATCTAAATTGACGTTTTTTATTAAACTCTGCAGTAACAAGCGGCCAAAGCAATTCAAGCGCGAGATAAATAATATTGTGTGTGTGAGAAAATATGCTGATACGTGTGTCACATGCATAATGTGCGAGACTTGGTAAGTATGAAAAACTTTGAAGAAATAAGATGTCCAGCAACAAAAGTCATATATGTTAGCGACCTAAATTTGCTCCAAATATTTTGCAAAGTGTCTGCCACTGTTTTTTTGTAATGCTACTCAGAGTCTCTCACTGAGCAAGTTGAAAGGTTGCTTCACTGCAATGGGAGACATTCAGAATAGCATCATCAAAAAATAATTCACCCAAGGAGAGTCATTTAAAATTTAGTAGTTAAAAAAATATCTTTTTAACTCTTTCTTGTCTATATGGGTATACAAAACACTTTATCCTTCTAGCTAAGCTTTATTTCAACAACTCAATGCGTACAAAAACACTAAAACACACAGGCTAAATAAATAACTTTCATTTTTACACAACACATTTCACACAAACAAAGCACCACTAACCATTTTGTTGTCGAGTAATTTCACACAAAATAAGAGTTATTTCGACGATGAAAGTCGCAAATTTTCATTCAGAATATACTACAGATATTTTTCTTTGACTTTCGACTTTAAACAGGCCATTTCTCAGGTCGTACTGACTTGAAATTTAAAAAGAATGCATGAAAAATTGTAATTTTGACGTTTTCAAAGCCGCCATTTTTTTATGTAAAATGGATATACCGCTGTGCAGAAACAGGCGCTTTATAAACTCCCGTGTCGTCATAGCAACGGTGGCTGGGGGGAGAGGCCAGTGAACTCTAATAACTGGAAGGCTAACTCCTATGATGAAAGTCTATGATTCGTTGAAGCCGGCGCGCGGGAAAATCAGCTTTCAAAAAGACTAAGGAGAGTTTCGAGGAGTGAAAAAAATTCTGCCAAAAGTTTGTTTTCGAGCAAAAATTTGCAAGAAAAACACTTTTTCCATGGGAATACAACAATGATTGGGATTTAAACCAGGTTTCCGATTAGTTCCGACTGTTTTACATCTCTCTGCAGCAAAAAGTAAGGAATTTTGCTTTTGTATTTTGAAAAAATGACGAAAGTTTGGACGTGCCGAAGGAAATCTCGCCGTTCAAACCAAAAATATATACTATAAAACATTTTGACAGTCCCAAAACTTATATTGTACTAAACCCCAGGTATTGTTTTTGATCCTGAGCTTTTATTCCTTGTTTTAGTCGCTCTTAAACATAAATAAATTGGCGTTTTTCAAGTGATGTTATTTTCGTCATCGGCATCTTGTTGACCACTATGAGCACTTTGAATATGGCAATATTTTTGTCAATTTTCAAATGCTTTTTTTTCGACCTTAAAACGTTAGATCTTCTTGAAACTTCGCATACAGATGTATTTTGCATGGGTATAAAAAATTCCTGAGGTATGACGTCTTAGTTTTATCTTAAACTTCCAAAAACTCAGAAAAAGCAGCCTAAAACGCGCGGTTTTTCAGACCGTTCATGCTTATGGTCGTGTTTTTCGCATTTTTTTTGCTAATTCGTGATTTGTTTGCTTTGCGAATATTAAATTCATTTGTCATACTACTCATATAAATTAAATTTGGTAGTATAACTAATATTTTGGGGCAAGATTTTTCTGATCAAAAAATGTGCATATTTTGAAAAAAAAAATTAAAAAGGACTGGGTCTACCTACAAAAAAAGCTTCAAGCACGGCTTCAACTCCCCCCCCTGACTTAGCCTTCCAGTTATTATTAGAGTTCACTGGGAGAGGCTTATAAATAAACTGAAATGAGAAATCCGGGGGGAGAAGTCTTGAATTCACATCACAAATTAAGTATTACAATTTACAAATTTAGTTGCTATTCAATGGATTTATCAAAATTTTAAATTTTACTTATTTTAGTAAACTCGCTCCTCACTACAAAGTAATACTTTTAGAGCTGCACAAATTGAAATTTATTTGTAACTATTCAATACTTGAGATCTGTGTGGGAAAATAGGGCCAACACAAAACATCTTTCGCAACAAAAAAAGTACTTTCTTCATTTAGATTCAACTAAATAAAATCATACTGGCAGTAAATTATTACTATGTTCTACATTTGTTTTTCTTCTCAAAACTTATTTTATTCCATTTCAGAACTTATTTTGAAAACTTACTTATATTCATCGCTAATTCGCTATTTATACCTTTCTCTATCTATTTTTTCTCTTATCTATTTAATTAACCAGTTTTAATTCAGGTTTCTGGAAAATTCCTAGCCCTCACTAGAGGTTCGCATTTGACATCCGCTACCATTAACCAATCAGATGCGTTCAATCTACTGGATTAACCAATCAAATGCGTAGTGTAAGTCATTCAGTGAAATGAATATAACTGGAACTACCTTCAGATAAACTGCCTATCTTTTTCTTGAAGCCAAGACAAGAGCACAAGACCCGCGTGTTTATGCCTCGCGAGACCAATTCAGGGACGAGCATGCCGTTTTAGTAAGAAAAAAACTAAAAGTAAAGTCTACTAGGAAGTTTTACCTAAATAAATGCATTAATAGAAAGGTTTCAGCGCTGTTAAAAAGATTTTTAAGCCGGTTTTCAAGAATACATATTCATGTTGACGGATTGACCGCGCTCTTCGCATGCGTGAAAAGACTGAAACTGGTCTTCAAGTTTGGTTTTAAATTTCTGGTGGGAAGTAGCGTTCCAGTTATATTCATTTCAGTGGTGAGAGGTAAGGGAGTGTTCATTATTTATACCCGGGGTTGGTACCGAAGAGAAATTGGTTGGGTAAGCCATTTTTCTGGGGTATGAAAGGTTGGGTAAATATTTTTTGAACAAAGCCTATGATTGGGTAAATTATTTTCAATACAAACCTTCAATTGAACAAAATATGAAAATCCTTTATTTAACAAAATAGGTCATTCCAGGAAATATCCATTCATTCCCCACAAAGAAAACTAAACTCCAACTCCCCATCCCCTCTGATTACAACAACGAGATATGGTAGGACTGCAGGAACTTGGAGGCTTGGGAACATAACATGAACTTGTGAAGGTACAAATGATTATACTTGACATTCAGTTATGCACAGTACTGTTTATACTATAGTGGCCTAGCTTGTATAATAATATATATGTAGATAAGTAAAATACTTGTATAATTTTGAAATTGGGTTGGGTAAAATAAAAATCCAAGTCATGCAATAGTTGGGTAGGGGAAAAAATGGTTGATTGAAAGGGTGGGTGGTTGTTTTTTTCTCTTTTCGATTAGTTTCTCTTCGGTACCAACCCCGGGTATAAATAATGAACACTCCCTAACGGTAGTCAAATCTGAAGTCTGGACCAGGACCGCAGACACAGAAGGGGAAACTCAGATTATACAATGAATAACTCAATACAACGGGCTGAAAGTTCTGCGAGCCTTGGACTGGCCTAAGATTAGACTTATGTTTCGCGTTTGCTTAGATCCAGCTCCGTGTAGTCCGGTAAGTTTCCTCCCATTTAGATGTCTTCGTACGACTCTCTTCTCTCGTAGGCTGGTGGAATAACATAATCCGAGTCTCGCTTTACTTGTTTCTGATGGGTACCATCACCCGTTGTATTCCTGCCGTGGACTCTGTTGTCATCAAGCTCAGTACAAACAGGATTTTCTGGCGATAATTTGGGCTCTTCACAGGTTTCATTTTGACCTGATGTTTCGTGTTGTGGTTCCTCTGGAATCGGTATTATGTATGTGTCAATGATGTCAACGTCTTTTAAAAATGCCTGATAATCACCATCGCCTGTCGCCACCCTTTTCGAGGTATCGGGTCGTTTATTAAGTTCAGTGTGTCCAGACGCCTGGTGTGCATTTGATGGTACTTCAACCTCTTCATAATCTGATGTCCGGCCTTGAGAAACAAAAGATTATAAACCCTGGTCAAACAAGATGAGATTTGATAAGAGTTGGCCAGTGAGAGTCTGCAGTGAGAACAACAATTGCTTGAGAGTTGATTGGATATTACAGCACGTAGCGAGAACTCTCATCAACTTTCATCAAAATTTGACCCAGCTCAACACTGATGAGAGTTAACTGGATATTACCAAGCGTAACAAAAACTCTCATGAACTCTACTCAAAATTTGAACCAGCTCAACACTAATGAGAGTTAACTGGATACTACCAAGCACAACAAAAACTCTCATGAACTCTACTCAAAATTTGAACCAGCTCAACACTGATGAGAGTTAACTGGATATTACCAAGCGCAACAAAAACTCTCATGAACTCTACTCAAAATTTGAACCAGCTCAACACTGATGAGAGTTAACTGGATATTACCAAGCGTAACAAAAACTCTCATGAACTCTACTCAAAATTTGAACGAACTCAAAGTTGAAAAGTTGGCGGGAAAACACGAGCGAAAGTTTCAACCTTCATTATCTCTTATCAACTTTCATCCTCGTTCTACAGTGAACACAATTATCAAGACGGTTTTCTCTTTTCAACCAAGATTTTTTACATTTCTTCTTAGAATGAGCAAATATTTACATATAGAAGGTTATATCATGGAATTTTAAACATATTACACATGTTTATCCTAAACTCAACCTAGACTCCTGGGCTGTGTCTTATATTTCTTTTTCAACGTTTTTTCATATGAGAAGTATGGAATTTGCTTTCATTTCGCATGTGACGCCATACTTACCAAATGCTAGCCCAAAACTTGACCAGACTAGTTGCCAAAGCCAGTCGAGGCTTTGTGTCAGGCTGCCTGAAAGTAGTTAAATTAAATATATAAATATATATATATATATATATATATATATATATATATATATATATATATATATATATATATATATATATATATATATATATATACGCGCGCAATTTATGAAATTATGTACATGCATAAGCAAGCGAGTATCGTCAGCAAACATCAACAAACTGACATTCAGAAGCAAAAACTGTTGCCTGATGATTGCCTTTACGGCATGAAACTCGGAGTAGCAACAAAAACATTTTAAGTATTAATAAATCGCTCTATTTTGTAATATTGAGCACTCTTCACTACATATACGTTCAAAGAAACTGAATTATTATTATTATATATTATTATATATATATATATATATATATATATATATATATATATATATATATATATATATATATATATATATATATATATATATATATATATATATATATATATATATATTTAGATAATAATCTCATCTGTGATATTACTGACCTTCGGATGATAATTCTTCAGACGCGTTTGCATTTGTGTCGACGTCATCGTAAAACTCTCGATGAACGCTTGCGACAGTTTCGTTACGTGGCCCCTGATGTTTATTATAAAGCCCTGGTCAAACAAAGAAGAGAGTTGAGAAGCGAGAGTCCGCACGAGATTTTTCTCAACTATCGTGGAGCAAAGACCCATTCTGATCCTCAGGCCCAAGCTCGGGAGGGCCTCCAGCGAGGCGCCTGGATACGAGGTTGTGCTGACAGTTGACCAATCTCGTTCCCCGAGCCTGCGATCCTCGGGAAGGAACGCGAGGCTCTGGGATAATCCGTTTCGGAGAGGACTCTGATTGGCTGTTGATATGGAATGCGCAGTTCAATTATCCCAGAGCCTCACGTTCCTTCCCGAGGATCGCAGGCTCGGGGAACGAGATTGACAGTTGACGAGATTTGACTGAATATTAGCGCGCGTAGCAAAAACTCTCATCAAAATTTGAACCAGCTCCAAGTTGACTAGAGTTGGTAGTCATAGGCAGGCGACAGTTGCAACCCTCGTTGCTGATTGGTCAAAACCTTATCTCCTATATCTAAAACGTCATGTTCACTGCGTGAACATCAATAATAAAACCAGAACTGAGACGCGAGTTATATTCGCGTCAACCATGCAGCAAGATCAAAGCAAAGTTCTTTCAAGAGTTTCAGCATGTCTGCCGGACAGCTTTATTAGTTTCGAAATACAAGGTGAATTATTGAGACTTTGACACTTGCTATACAGTAAACCAGTTATCAAGATTGGTTTCTTTTCAACCAAGATATAATATATACTGACCTTCAGCTGATGGGCCTTCAGACTCGCTTCCACTTGTGCCGAAGTCATCGTAAAACTCTCTTGTGACAGTTTCGTGACATGCCTCCTGTTTTTTATAAGAAAGATTATGATTTCTTTAATGACGATTACACACAGGGTGTGTGCCCAATTCACCCGAGACACGTGCTTCACAACTAATTTCTAAGAGTTGTTTTTTTTTATGAAGGAGAGAACGACTGGAGTCAGAAAAACCCTCGAAGTTCAAGTACAAGCTAAAGTATCTTTACTTATGCTAAATAGCTCTATCAGTTCTAGAGGTTCTGAGTGAGGCCCATCTGTTATTGATCCAGTGTTACTACGGGGGGAAACCTAAACTAAAACTATAATATATTTTTTGGATAACTCTATCAGTTCGAAACTGTTCTTCCTAGAGGCCCAGTATAAGAGTCATCTCTTATTGATCCAGTGTTACTACAGAAAGAAATCTAAACTAAACTAACTTTTTTTATATATTAATTAGATAGCGCTATCAGTTCAAAACTGTTCTTCTTAGCTATAGAGGCCCAGTAAGAGTCATCTCTTATTGATCCAGTGTTACTACAGAAAGAAATCTAAACTAAATTAATTTTTTTTTGTATATGAATTGGATAGCGCTATCAATTCAAAACTGTTCTTCCTAGAGGCCCATATGTAATAACCATTCACTGTGTTGCCAACACCATGACCATAAATAATTTACCTCATCAACTGGCAATGGTTCTGGTGAAATTTCATTCGTCTCCAATGGAATATTGACAGGAGTTGATAATTTTGAAGCCCGTTTCAGTAGTTTGTATTTTATCCATAAGACGATAAGCACAATGTTAACAAATACGCTAAAACCTAGTGTTATCGCTATCATAATGATTTTGCTGAAGTCATCCGTTCCCTTGTCTGCAGAAAAATAGATTTTTTAAATTCTTATTTGCATAGGGTAAATTGAATCCACATTGATTATGTGAATAAAAAGTATAAAAGAGTAAGTTATTTAAGCCTACTGGTGAAGGTTGAGGACCAGGTATTGTTGCTTGATGGGCGACCCTGATCTGACTCAATTAATCTGTTTGTACGTAGAGTTGTGGTTAGTCCTCTGCTGTGGTTCGAGGGTTTCTCCAGGTACTCTGGTTTTCAAGAAGTTAACCCTTTTATTTTAACCTGGCCACCTTGGGCAGCCAGAGCCTCCCACATCGGTCATGCTTCTTACAAGCAATGATGATTAGCACTCCTCCCTTCACTACACAAAACAATCCACACCACAAGCTTCACCGTGCACTACGAAACAACTACATAAAAACTGTATACATTACTATATACAATACATCACTATGTAATAACAAAAACCTCACTTGCCTTCAGACCAATATATAGTTGGAGATGGTAAAATTGTAGTGGAGACTGTAAATGTTGTTGTCGGCTTTTCACTTCCATTATTATTTACCGAAGTCGGTTTAATAGTTTGATTTTCTAAAATGGTAAAAATATGTTATAACATACACGTGGTACCGAAGGAGAACTACGAAGAAACCCAGCTTTCCTACTCTATTTTGTCAACGGATTGATGGTACTTCGGCCTACAGAGCTATTAGTACACAAGTGATTCACCTCTTGGAGGACATGAAACCATGAGAGAGATATCATCAATTGCAATGTCTCCCCAGTCACCTTTACCGCGTACACCTTCGATTACAAACTGGAAGAAAAGTAGAAAAGTGTGGTCGTTTCCGTTCACTGGTAGATCGACTTGAAAAATATTTAGCACTTTAACAAGCATGTATTTATAATTCTATACCCACCTACCGGGTCTTAGCTAGAAGACCATTTGGGCCGTTGGCCGTGTTATCACGCTCAAAAAAGGGGAAAAAAACACGGCAAGATAAAACGAACACGGCTTCAGTATTTATGTAAAGCCGTGTAGCCATGGTAAGCCATATTAGCAACACTCCTTAAAATAGAGTGTTGATACTTACAACAGACACAATTTCCTCCTATTTATGTCGTACGAAAGTTTCTAGTTTAACGGCAAGGTATCTGAGTTGGTGACATCAATCAAGGCCAGTCAGCGATCTAGCCTTGTAGGCAAGACCGCAATGGCACATTGGAAAACATCAGGCAAAAACTGCCAAACATTTATGGCAAAACTGGCAGATGGCAAACGGCTATGGCAAAAACAACAAAAAACGTAATAATAAGGCGAATTTTTGTAGCAATAGGAGTTTGCCATGACAATTCTGCCAAGGCAGACTTCCGGCACCATACTGATAGTCAGTGGAAAAAGGATCACACTCTATAGTCGTCTGTAGGTCGTATCCAGCAAACGAACACCTGTTCTCTGTGACACCCCGCTACAAAGGTCGCAGGACGGCATGACCGTCTGCCGTTACCTTCGCTTAATTCGGATGTAACAATATTGTTCAATATTGTTGACAATTTCGTACCCAGAGTATGCCCGTTCGCAGGTTAGCTGCTGCGAACGGGCAAACTCTGGGTACGAGATTGTATTGTTAATAACTGTGAACAATGTGGGCCGCACAACATTGTTCAATACTGTTTTCATCAATATTGCAACAACCTGATCGTTTTTAGCTGTGTAGATAATGGGAAAAATATGGTGTTAAAATGGCTTCAAATGCTCCCGAGACTGTAATGTCAGTGCGAAATATAAGCGTATCCGCGCCTTGATTTGAAAAGAATAGAACACCGTGCATTTGGCTATTCTGGTTAATTGGCAAGCACACACCCTGGAAATTTGAAAACACTCTCAAAATCAAAAATTCTAGCAAAGACCCTGCCCATCTATATCTGCGATCTTTGCATTCAGTTATATTTGGTGCTCACAGGTCTACATGCTCACCTGATATAACGCCATTTGATTGTTTACAGCCACTTGTGCTTGATACCATTCGACACCTTGCTCTCCAGAACGACTCCACACTGAATACATCCTACCCCCAGATTTCACGTAGACCTAAAATTATACATATATATATTTTTAAATTATACTGTATAGTGTATAGCATAAAGTAATATTTATATATTGATATACTTTACACAATGGATGCTGGGAGTTAGAATGAAATAAAGAAATGGCCGACCAAATTTGGAAGTTTCCAATCAAAGTTTACTTTGGTTGGACATCTTCCAGCCAACTTTCGAATGTTATATCAGGCTCTGCGATAGATTGGACAGTACTCGATACTACAAAGATCGAGAAAATATTGTATAATATAGGTTTGTTCACTTCAAATTAATCTTCACCACCAAAGGTTTCACTCCGATAAGGGATGTATATGTATGATACCATGTTTATGTATGTTCACCCTGTCACCCGATGCCATGACAATGGCATGTGGACCGTTTGGGAAAGTTAGTAAATAAATAGAAATAAATACATGTATAAAAATAAATACCTGAAGTTTACCCATGTCATGGCCGAACATGTGGTAAAAGAAGAGGAGACAGGATTTGGTCTCTATTGTCGATGGCGAGATCAATCGAGCTTTGTCGTTCGGTTGCCTTGGTGGCAAGGCTTCGATGTATAAATACCAACCAGATGCTTAATTGGATGAAATGAGAAACGTGATGTTGGTTAAGCCTGAAAATCTGGAGAGAGTATAGATTTAAGGGAGCCTACAGGAAAGTGAAGCTATGTGTATAGTGTTAGCGCCACAGTGTTTGGTGCATGTGACATTCTTTCTGCAATATACATTTGTTGGATTTTACTTTCCCTTTGTTCCAATGTGAGAAGAGTGCTTCTGTTTGACCATGGATCATAAAAACACTATCCATGGTTTGACCAAACAGCGCAGGTTTTCTCAGGTACTCGGTAGTAACACTGAACAAATAAGGAATGATCTCTACTGGATTTCTACAAAGAACAGTTTATAGAATTGGGCGAGTAAAAGCTACCTAATACAAATTATAAAGTTAAAACAGTTTAAAATTGATACAGTTTCCCAATATAAATCAAGTTAGTTAAAACTATGTGACTCACAACCCCTTTCCTTTGGCATATAAATGACATACAGATTGCCATCACCTTTTACTTTTCCCCTTGACAATTCACGTGAGATAGTCCAGTTATATAAAGCACTGAGAGATACTTACTGGGCACAAACTCGAAGAAGTTTTGTCGCTCATCACAGACTGAGTCAAGCACGAGCTTTATACCATTCCTTGGGTTCACCCCTCCAGTTTCAGGCTGAAGACACATTTTCTTTTTGTACTGCAGTGATTCTTGGGCAGTCCAACTCCACGTGTCTGTCGCATCCCAACTACTGAAAACACCCACCTCGAAAAAAAGAGTACGTATATGGTAAGTAAATATGTTGGTAATGTAAGCAGTGAAAATAAAGTTAGAGATTAAGTACGCCATATTTATAACCCATTATGTCTGTTTGTTCTCGTTCAGCGTTAACACATTGTACAAGAAATATATCTCTAAACTAGAAATATATTTAAAATTTTTTACCAACCTTCACTCCATCAGTCATCCGGTCAGTAGGCTTCACGCACATGCTATGTCTAGTAAGCATCAGTGTTCCATTCGGCCAGAGCTGGAACTCCAGCCTGTCTTTTGCACATCCTTCGTATGTCACAAGGAATTGTCCCTCTTTGGGTTTGTTGAAAGTGTCCAGTAAAACATGAATACACTTGCCTCCACTATGTCGTATGGAGCCGGGACCTTGCATCTTGTTTGTCAGAGAGCCTAGAATAAAATATATAAATTGAGGACTTCAAAGTAGCGATGTTATCTCACAACTTATCTTTACCTAAATTTGTCTATATGATAGAAATTTTATAGTAATAGCCATGATGGTGTGTGTTTATGTTGGTGATGGCAAGAGTGATGATGATAGTTCTGGTTATGGTTATGATGGTGGTTATGGTTATGATGAGGGTGGTTACGGTTATGATGATGGTGGTTACGGTTATGATGATGGTGATTATGGTTATGATGAGGGTGGTTACGGTTATGATGATGGTGGTTACGGTTATGATGATGGTGGTTATGGTTATGATGATGGTGGTTATGGTTATGATGATGGTGGTTATGGTTATGATGGTGGTTATGGTTATGATGATGGTTATGGTTATGATGATGGTGGTTACGGTTATGATGATGGTGGTTATGGTTATGATGATGGTGGTTATGATGATGGTGGTTATGGTTATGATGGTGGTTATGGTTATGATGATGATGGTTATGGTTATGATGATGATGGTTATGGTTATGATGATG